AAGGATGAGAATAAAAGAAAAATAAAGGGGGAGACGTGTGGAAATCGAACCCACGACCTCTTAGATTTACTTAAGGAGGAGAATAAAAGAAAAATAAAAAGAAGTTGTGGAGGTTTGATCCCACGACCTCATAGTCAACTCAAAATAGACAAGGAGAAATAGATAAAAAAAAATAAAAGGGGTTGTGGGGGTTTGATCCCACAACCCCTCAGCCAAGAAAGAGAATTTTCAAAGGATAGAACTAAAAAGGAAATGGTGATATTGTGGCTCGATCTGGGGTTCCAATGTCACGTGGACTTGAATTAAATGTGAAGTGTTGTCCAAGGGATTTTAAATGTGGTTCTCTTGCCCAAATTCCGTATGGATACATAAGTCATACGTGAATTGAATATTCAAGAATAATGTTGCCTACTTAGATCGAAATTGAGATTTTGGCATACATACAAGATGCATAAGTCTTGTACTACATAATCTTAGGAAGATATGAATCACTTAAACGAATGATGAATGAAGCATCATGGCTTGTATGTATAGACCCATAAGTCTAGCATACGTTTAAAAATAAGTGAACCTAAGATGTATGTATGAAATGATGTAACCCTAGAAGGGTTAAGTAAGAGGATAAAACACACTTAATGGCCAAGTGCATTGGCACATAATGAAATGAACAATGAAATGATGAAATGAACAATGAAATGATGAAATAAACAAAGAAATAATGAAATGAACAATGAAATGATGAAACCCTAGAAGGGTTAAGTAAGAGTGTGAAACACACTAAATGACCAAGTGCATTGGCATATGATGAAATGAACATTAAGGTAAAAAGGGGTGAGTAATTATGAAGAACAAATGTGCTAATGTTAATGAATGTGGTGACAACATGATATGAGGCTAATGTAAAAGATGAGAGAAATGTCAAATGACCTTAAGTAAATGTTACAAAAACGTACTAACCTCTGAGAGTGTTAAGTTAATGAAGAGATCAATCTCTATGAACACTCTAACGAAAGTATTGAGATTAACACACTTAATACTAATGATGAGATGATAAATCATCCATTGAGCTATGATGTCCCCATACTAGAAGCCAACTTCCATGACATATGAGTTGAATGTAATGGAACTTTATTTTGAGCACCGATAGACTAGTTATGAGTGGTGATACCTTCTATTGGGAAGGACGGAGGTTCACGTAACTCATGAGATGAGACTGTCCGTTATGCGGAGTATAGGTTTCCTTATATCTCCTAGTCTTCGAACCTATACTGCCAATATAGGGATCTGGCGGGGTTCAATTCCTATGTACGCTAGCATATTTTGGATCTATTTGACCGGTGATTCCACCTTTTTTCGGTGTGGGGTTTCAAGACACTAAATTTCATGATGCTCACATGATCTATGTCGGTTAAAGTTAAAGTTTCCAAAGAATGAATGAGGACAACCTCAAATGATGCACGTAATAAAAATAATGATACCAAAGGTGTTAGAATAGGATAATCAAAAGGTGAGTTAGATTCGAGTAATGACATTAGGTCATTCGTGGTCATTGCACAACGAACCCGATGAAAGTCTTAAACTACATCTTAGGTATAGCTAGTGTTTACACTGGCCCATGAATGTTATGAAATGAAGTACGTATGAATGAACGAAGAAGACTCTGTGTTTGCTAAAGCAAACTCCCTAGTTGAGGTCCCATATGTTGAGCCCTAATTTTTGGAAAGTCTTAATGTCAAGTCAATGATTCCAAGGTCTCATGGCATAAGAATGAATAATATGAACAACGTAATGTGTTATAGGAATTATGATATGTGTTATGTGTACACTGCTGTGTGTTGTGTGCAAAATGTTAAGTATGATGATGCATGTTACTCTCAAGGCATAACTTTTCTAATCCAAATTTTGAAAGCTCATAAATTTTCCTAATCCAAATTTGGAAAGTTCATCCACTTTCCTAATCTCAAGTTGGTAAGTCCACTGACTTGACCTGCTATAATCATGTTGCTAGGAAAGAGTTATTCTTACTCATGCATGTCCTTGGTGTGTTCTTGCATCTACCCATACTTAGTACAAGTGTGTACTAACCCTATACAACTCTAAACTTTTAGGTGGTGTAGGCACAGGTGGACGCTAGAGCTACAGGATCAACGCTGCAGATATCCGGACGTCAAGCATTCATCCGGACTTGGTAGGCCCTCATGCTTTCGAGGATGATTTTCCATTTACATTCTAGCTTAGTTGTAGGATTGAGCTATTGGAGTATGTTCCACTAGAGAATCTTTCCCGTTTTTATTCATTGTATTGGTGTCATTTTGGCAAGTACATATTTATTATTATAATAAACTAATTCTTTCATTTGATGATCTTAATGTTAGATGGTTGATGGTGAATAATTACGTATGTAGTAGAATATTTAGTAGGCATGTTAAGAAACACAAAGTTTCAAATTTTCCGCTAAAATTAAGTTAGACGAAGTAAGAATGATGTAAGTAGGCTTGTCTGCGACCTCTGAGAGGTCAACGACGCCGGTCTCGTTTGGGGTCTAGACTCCGATCGTGACAGTTTTATTTTTTGATCTCCATTTTCCTATCTATTCCTTCATTTTCTTTTGTTATTCTTATCATAGCAGTTAAACTATCTTCTAGTTTTACCGTTTCTTTTTCTAACATTAAATTTAGATTATCACCTATTTTCTTATATTTTCTTCCTAGATTAGAAAATATTTTTTTTATTTTTAATCCATCGTAGTTTTCATATGTTTTTTCATATATCACTTATTATTCCTTATTCATTTATAGATTGTATTGAAGTTTATATTCTAAACTTTCTATTTGTATCTCTAGATAAAAAATAGTTTTTCTCTGTGCTATTGTAGATTTTTTTATAAATTCTTGCGATTATGTAATTATTAAGTCTATTTTGACTATGTCCGAATTCTTGTCTTTTCACTATAATTATTTCAGTAAGTTTTTCTTTGTATTTGTTATTCTTGTTATTCATTGTATCTTTAAATATTAAATATATTTATATTTTATTTTAGATATATTATCTATTAATTGATATAATTTTATGTTATCAGTTTTTGTGATATTGAGTTATTTATATTTCGTATATAGTTTATTTAATTTTCTTCTTATTTTTCTTAATTTTCTACTCGTATGTTTCTTACTATATTTCGTAAAATCTTAATTTTTTAATTCATTCACTTTACAATTCATAGAGATAAAATGACAAATTTATTATGTAAATAATTATTTTTTTAATAAGTGTGTTAATTTAAAAGTGGATCAAACAATCAGGGACATGAGGGTATTATTAGAGGTGAAGAGAGAGGACACATGTAGTTCTCATATATGCTCCATGGTCAGTGTGGAATTCGGGTAAGAATTTCAAATTAATAATATTTTGAGATTTTATTTATTCATAACTGATTATTATATTATTTGAATACATATTTATTTTATTAAATGTTAAAAATTAATGATTAAGGGATGAAACTGAATTTGCCGATTACATCTAGGGAATAGGTGAACGTGTATATTACTAAAAATTTCTTATAGTTTGAAAAATTTGTAGCAATAAAATCAAGAAATTTCAAAATTTCTCTTTTCTATACTATCAAGAATAAAAAATAGCCAGTAAGGTCTATAAATTTGTGTGTTTCCCGCTGAAAAATAGCCAGTAAGGTCTATATATTTGTGTGGTTCATGTTGAAACATATATGCATTAAATTATCTCTTGATATTTTAAATTAATAATTTAATATTGTAGACAAGAACATGAGATAATATAATCGATCCCACAAAATTTAGCGGGATCATAGATTCTCCCAAAATATTTAAGGGCAATTTTCACATATAACAAACACAAAATTTATATTTGTATATTATAGCAAAGTTTGTATAATTGTACTCATAGCAAACCTATATATGTATAATTTGCTATACATATACAATTGAAATGAATTGTATAAAACGAGAAAGAGCGAAATTATATACAATTGAATTTGTATAAAACGAGAAAGAGAGAAAGACAAAAGAGACTTGAGCAGGGAATACACAATTGAATCGAATTGTATAAAACGAGAAAGAGAGAATTATAAACAATTTGAATTTGTATAAAACGAGAAAGAGAGAAAGACAAAAGAGAGTTGGACAGGGAAATATTTGTATTGTATAATTATAAGTGTACAGGACAAAGATATATGTATTTGCATGTGTATATACAATTTTTTCTCGCTATATACAATAGAAATGTATAATTTATACATTTATGTTGTATAAAGCGAGAGAGGCGAGCGACAGGGAGCGAGCGTGAGAGGGAGAGTGGAGAACGAGAATATGAGGGAGAGAGGCGATTGACAAACAATTTACTATGAAACACAAATAAATCAAACGATAGCCACTATATTTATTTTATATTATTAATTTGCCATTTTATATAATTATTCCAATACAATTAAATTTCCACAAAATTTAAGTGTGCAATTGACAAAATAAATGAGACATGAAGGGAGTGTTTGGTAAAACGAAAAATGTTTTTCATATAAGAATGCCTTTTAGAATAAGTGGGTTATTTTTTTATTTTTTATTTTGTATTTAGTACATAATTATTTTTTTTCATCTTAAACATGTATTATTAAATATAATTTAAATAAAAACTATGAGAGATGAAGATAGAGGGACGGGGATGAAGATGAGGTGCATTGAAAGGTGTGGATTACTACCAATTAAAATGTTAGTAACTTGTTTTCCCAACTTTCATTAATTATTCCTTATTTTTTTAAAGAATTGACGAACTGAACCTAAGACTCCTATCTCCTAATTATTAAGGGAGAAAAAATGAAATATTTTTTCAAGTTTACGTTATTTTCAAAGTTTTAGATATTTTCCGTTAACATGTTCAACATAACAGTGATGAAATTTAAGATTCACCACACAAAAGTTAAGAAGGCAAAGCAATTTTTGTTGTTATAAATTGAAGGTTCCAAGGATAATGAGACTCACAAAACTTTTATCTCTTTAATTTGAGGCAATTATTCTCATCTCAAATTATTACAATTTTTAGCTCTATTAGGATGGGAACTGAAAGTGTACGTAATATTTATGCTCAATTTTCTAGTTTTCTCTTTTATATACTCATTCATTCATTTTAAATCATACTAGTACATTATATATTAAATTTTAATTTTTTGTGTGATTATGAAATAGGAATTTGACTCAACAGTAGTCGCAACAAAAACTGGAATCAACGCACCATTGTCATCTCCAAGGGACAATATGTGTCTTAGTTTGATTGAACCTCATATTAAGAATAAAACATCTTCCGAAGAATTGAACATGATTTTGACTCAATATGTAGACACATTATCCCAGAGGATGAAATATCATATAGGTAATTAGTAAATATACATTCTTTTTGTATAAATATGGGAGATAATATTTATGTGTTTCTCAAATTAATACGTGATAATTTAGGTATGAAACTTATATTTTCCATAGTTTAGATATTAGATTAAAAAAATAAGATATCTTAGGTGTGTTTTTGACTTTTCACTCAAAATAAAAATATAAAACCTTTGTACTTCTTACTGTAACTTTATATATCAAGAATATGACTTTAGATAGGAGGAGAATGGGGATCCTGTATATTAGGATAGAAAGTTAGTAGAGATAGAGTATTGTCTTGTCTTACTTTTATTTTTCTTCTTAATCTATTATCACATGTTGTGTATTGTGTTTCGATTATTATACTATTTTGTTGTTGGTGTTATTTCTTTCATAACTTGTAGGCTCTACAGTGTTTTTCTTATTAACGGTAATGTTTTCCCCTTTATTTTCCTCTCCTTTACTTGGGTTTGATGAGATATTTAAGAGACAACCTCTCTACCGCATGGAGATAGAGATAAGGTCTGCGTACACTTTATCCTCTCAGATCTCATTTAATGAAAATTTCATCCAATGTGTTATTGTATTTTTATAAAAAACAATGTATTAATTAAAGGAAAAATTACACGGATAAGCAAACTTATACTATTTAATTACTCAACATAGCTATACTTTGTTATAATAAGTACTCACGACTAACATTGTACATTAATTACGTGAGTTGACTTTGAGTTTGTATAATTAGTCATGTATGTACATGTATAATTCGCCAGGATATACAAATTAATATGTATAATATGCAATTTTTTAGCCTATATACATATACAATTCACCTCTCTCTTACTATATACCCTCTCTCGCTCGCCTCTCTCCTCACTCTCTCAATATCGCTCGCCTCTCTCATCCCTTTCCAAATCACGCTTGCCATTTATACAAATGTATATGTATAATATACAGTTATATACAACTATATACATATACAATTCACCTCCCTCCCACTCTCTGCCCTCTCTCGCTTGCCTCTCTCCTCCCTCTCTCGATCTCGCTCACCTCTCTCCTCTCTCTTCTGATCTCGCTCGCCTCTCTCCTCCCTCTCCCAGACTCTCTTGCCATATATACAATTACATATGTATAATATACAATTATCTAACCAATATACATATATAATTCACCTCTCTCCCACTCTCTGCCCTCTCTTGCTCGCCTTTCTACTCCCTCTCTCGATCTCGCTCACCTCTCTCCCCTCTCTCCTAATATCGCTTACCTCTCTCCTCCCTCTCCCAATCTCTCTTGCCATATATACAATTACATATGTATAATATGCAATTATCTAACCAATATACATATACAATTCACCTTTCTCCTACTCTTTTCCCCTCTCTCTCGCCTCTCTCCTCTTTCTCCCAGTCTCGTTCGCCTCTCTCCTCCAAATAACATGTAGCTACAAATTGTAATTATCAAACTATAGTTATGAAGAGTAATGAATTATTTTTAAGTGGCTATATATGAAAGTTTCCCATTATTAAATATGTAGGTATTATTTATTCAATAAATAAGTTAAGGAGTAGTCAAATAAAAAAAAATCAGTTTGTATTATGATGATAGTAGTGCAAAAGTAACCTTTATTATGAGCATATATATGTAAATTTGATCACTCTAGATTATTTATTTTACAGGTTATCCAATTAACCTTTCTTATGAGCATCATGCCACTTTAGCCCCACTTTTGCAATTTCATTTGAACAATTGTGGAGACCCCTTTACTCAGCACCCTACAGATTTTCATTCAAAAGATTTTGAAGTGGCTGTTTTAGATTGGTTTGCACAACTCTGGGAAATAGAGAAAGATGAATATTGGGGATACATTACTAGTGGTGGCACTGAGGGCAATCTCCATGGCCTTTTGGTTGGGTAAGTTTCAGTTTTAGAGGCGAATCTAGTCTTTCAGTGATCATCTTAAATTCAATATTTTCAAGCTATATATATAATATGAAAAATATGGGGAATACATAAAATTAACAACATGAGTCTAACATACCTATCTTTACTTCACAATTTCTGTAGAAGAGAGCTACATCCTAGTGGGATATTATATGCATCAAAAGATTCACATTACTCGATTTCCAAAGCAGCAAGATTGTATCGAATGGAGCTACAAACTATTAACAGTTTAGTTAATGGGGAGATTGATTATGAAGATTTACAATCAAAGTTACTTGTCAACAAGAACAAACCAGCCATCATCAATATCAATTTTGGTACATCATATATATATAGTATATGCTTTTAATTAGATCATATGTGTAATACTATTATCTTTTAAAAAGTTATGTTAATTTATGTATTTGTAGGAACTACCTACAAAGTAGCAATTGATGATGTTGATATGATCCTACAAATACTTGAAAATTGTGGTTATTCCAATGATAGGTATTACATCCATTGTGATGCTGCACTATATGGGCTAATTGTCCCCTTCATCAACCATGTAAGAATATTATACTTTAGTCCACTATTTTCTTTTAAGGATGCAAATAGAAAATGACACGTGTCTCTTTTGTATTCGTCAATAGGCGAAAATAATTACCTTCAAGAAGTCAATAGGCAGTATTTCAGTTTCAGGCCACAAGTTTTTGGGATGTTCCATGCCTTGTGGAGTTCAAATAACAAAGAGAACTTACATTACTACAATCTCAAAACAAGTCGAGTATATTGCCTCAATAGATAATACAATTTCTGGAAGTCGAAATGGTTTGGCACCAATATTCTTATGGTATAGTTTAAGCATGAAAGGTAATGCCGGATTGCAAAAAGATGCCAAAATATGCTATGAAAATGCTAGGTATTTGAAAGACCGGCTTCATAAAGCAGGAATTAGCGCTATGCTCAATGAATTTAGCAATATCGTGGTGTTTGAACGACCTTGTGATAATAAGTTCATTCGTCGTTGGCAACTATCTTGCGCAAGGGATACGGCACATGTTGTGGTTATGCCAGGCACAACAAAAGAAATCATAGACAATTTTTTCAAGGACTTAGTGCAAGAGCGGGAAAAATGGTGTGGAATAACTTTGGGTCCTTGTCTTGCTGATGATATAGGTTCTCAAAATTGTCTATGTTCCTATCGCAACATGCATCACTAAATTCCTTTGGAATGGTCTTGATCATGGAGCATGTTGGAGTGACTCAAAAATTTGTTATTAGAGTCTGAAAATAAATATTTTCATGTATCTTTTTATTTGGTTTTTTTATTTACTTTTTGAAATGAAAAGATTCTCTTTATCATCTTGTATGCAATAAATTTTAAATATGCAGAAAGTAGGTCAATCATAAATAAAATCTAAAGAAACAAGAATATTATTGATTGAATAACTTGATTCTTTTCTCTGGATTTCTCCTTGGTTCGAGGCAGGGTTGTTAGTAATTGATGCATTTTGATCTTTTTATGAATATCTTATAAATTTTATGAAATTTTAGAGATTTTGATCTTTATGAATAGCCAAGACACAATATTTGTTTGTTCATGATTTCTTTGTGAATATCCAAGAATTTATGAGATACTTAGGATGCCTCTTCAAGGAATACGAGCCTTTATATAGGCAAGACAACATTTGATGTTTTCACGATCTTTTTGTAAATATCCAAGAATTTATGAGATACTCGAGATGCATCTTTAAGGAATATATATTACCCTTTTATAACGACATGATCTAGAGTGTAGAGTAACCTCCAAGAACCCTAACAGAAATAAAACTCGTCTCGTGAAGTTCAATTCCAAGGAATGGAAGAACACATCTAAGGATCCAATTCTGGTGATTCTTGTTAAAAATATCATTAACTAATTTAAGTGTGTTCTCTCTAACAGTTAAAACTTTTAGATGAGATGATCACACACTTCAACTTGATATTAGAGCCTACAAAGGTCTTGTTTCAAATCTTACGCCACCCAAATTATATCAAGGCACCCTTATACCTCCAACATTAAGGTAAGTTTCTGCCATATAATTCTAAGCATTTTAATTAGCTCTTAATAATTAATTACGCAATACAATCCTAGCTGAAAGAGTTGGTTTGGTTTTTGTATAATCAAACTAAATGGAAGATGAATTAACATAAATATTTGGTAGGAAGATAATTAGTACAAAATAAAAATCAAGATAGTATCTTGGTAGGTAAAGTTTAGGCAAACCATAAAATGGTTTCATATTCTTAACCTTGACATTTTGACATATACTGATGTCATGGATGGCATCAATAGGATGAAATCATTCATATAAATAGGTAGCTCTTAATTCATTTTCAAAATCATCCTCTCACTTGACTTCACACCTTTTAAGACATTTTTGTTCTCTCTCTAGTAGTATTTCACTTGTATTATTTGTAAAATGAAATAAATATTGGTGCGGTTGTACTTTAATGGACGTAGGATAATTTTGATCCGAACCATGTTAAGTATTATTGTTATTCATTGTTCTTTAATTTCATGTTTTCGCTAATAATTGGTATCAGAGCTAAGATTCTGTTTTAGTATGCTCTAGGGTTGCAACACGGTCTAAACTTCCACATCAGAAAAGAATTACTTTGATTTTTTGTAGTTCCAAATACATTGTAGTAGAAAAGAAAGAACAAGTAAAAAAATGAGTTCTATGAAGTGTGAAATTGATAGATTTAGTGGGCGCACCAACTTTAATATTTGGAAAATCCAGATTATGGCGTTACTATGGAGGGAAGGTTCAATCCATGTTATTGACGGAAAATACCACGATAAGATATCGGATTTCGACAAGGAGAATATTGAAGGAGATGCATTGAGTGTAATTCAACTGTCTCTTGCACCTACGTACTTTGTGAAGTGAGTACAAGTACCGAAGAGACAGCCAAGGAGTTATGAGAAAAGCTGGGAGGGCTTTACCAGGACCAGTCAGTGACAACAAAAATGTTGTTTCAACAACGTCTTCATACATTTAAGATGGATTTAGGTAGTTTGTTGCAAGACCATCTAGATGCGCTCAATAAACTTGTGATGGACTTACAAACTGCTGGAATTAAAAATAACGAGGAGACACTTACATGTTCTTTGCTAATTTCATTGACTTCAAAATATCGTGATATTGAGAATTCAATAATGTATAGCAAACAACCTATCAAACTTGAGAAAGTGCGGCAAACACTAAACTCTTGCGATGTGCGGATGGATTTCGAAGGTGGAAAAAGTGATGAAGCTAGTGGACTCTTTGTAAGAGGTCATACTATCCAACAGGGAAGGAGCAAATCAAAGTATAGATCAGAATCTCGTGTGAACAAAAAGAACGGGGGAGTTTGGGGCTGTCAAAAGAAGGGGCACTTTGAACGAGATTATCCTACGTCGAAGTCCAAAGAAAAGACGAGTGCATTAATTGTTGAGTAAGTACATGATAATGGTGATGATTATGTACTAACAACATCATGCAATAGTGGAGTTTATGACAACAAATGAGTCTCACTCTGGTTGTACTGTGAAAATGACATTCCAAAAAGATTGATTTAGCATCTATAAAACACGCAGTGAAACTGTATCAATGGGGAATAATGCAACTTGTAAAATAGTTGGCATTGGATCAGTTCGTATTCACTGCGATGATGGGATCATGAGGACTATTACAGAAGTCCATCACGTTCTTGATCTAAAGAATTTGATCTCCATGGGTACTTTGGATAAACAAGGCTATAAGTACATGAGTAAAGGAGGAACTATGAAAGTGACTAAAGGATCTTTAGTCATGTTGAAGGCCAATCTGGAGGATGGCCTTTACACACTTGCGGGAAGCACCATTATTGGCTTTGTAAATGCATCTACACTGCAGTTATCTAATGATGACAAGGCAAAATTATGGCACATGAGACTAGGCCATATGAGCGCAAGGGGATTGAAGATGTTGAGCAACTGCAACCTTTTGAATGGTAAGAAGATCAGCACACTTGAATATTGTGAGCACTGCGTCTTAGGGAAACAGAAAAAGGTCAGCTCCAGCTCCAGCAAACACAAGACGGGAAGAGTGCTAGACTACATCCATTCAGATTTATGGAGTCCCTCTAAGCTTCTATTGAAGGGATGAAAGAGGTATCTTCTCACATTCATTGATGATTTCTCACGAAAGGTTTCGGTGCGTTTTATGAAGACAAAGGTGATGCTTTTAAAATATTTAAAGAGTGGAAGATTTTGGTTGAAAATCAAATGGAGAGAAAAATCAAGTATCTTCGCACAGATAATGGCTTGGGGTTTTGCAGTGAAGATTTCAATGATTTCATAAAGGTTCATGGGATCAAAATACATATGAAGGTCAGGCACACACCACAACAAAATGGAGTAGCCGAAAGAATGAACAAAATTCTTCTCGAGAAGGCTCGTTGTATGCTCTTACAAGCCAAGATGTCCAAAGTATTTTGGGATAAAACAGTTCATACTGCTTCTCATATTGTCAATCGATCTCCAGCATCAACGATTGACTTTAAGACTCTGAATGAGGTCTGGTCAGGTGAACCCTCTAACTATTCATACTTGCGAATATTTGGGTGTCCAGCTTATTATCATGTTAATAAAGGAAAGCTTGAACCAAGGGCTAAAAAGGCCATATTCGTAGGGTATGTAGATGGAGTAAAAGGTTACAAACTTTGGTGTTTGGATTTACTCAAATTTGTAGTTTTTAGAGATGTTACCTTTGATGAATCCCATATACTTTATCCTCGTAAATTTTTTGTGGAGTTATCAAGAAACGAAAACAATGAGCAGGTGGAGCTATCGATGGATCTTACCAAGGAACGAGATCAAGATACTCAAATTGATGAGTCAAAAGATGCATATCTTGAAGAACTTGGTGTCAATGGACCATACACAATTGTGAAGGGAAGGGACAAAGGCAGATACGAAAATCAGAATGTCTTATAGAGAAAGAAAATTTGATTGCACTTGCGTTCGTAACTGCATAGGTAGAGATTAAGGATCTCGACCCCTCTTTGTATGTTGAAGCAAATTCTTGCAAAGATGCTGCACAATGACAGTTATCCATGACGGAAGAGATGTAGTCTCTTCATAAAAATGAGACATGGGTCTTAGTTAAAAGGCCAAAGGGGATAAGGACAGTTGGATGTAAATGGGTCTACAAAAAGAAAGAGGGTATTCCAGAATTGGAAGATGCTAGGTTCAAGGCGAGATTGGTTGCAAAGGGTTTCAGTCAGAAGGAGGGAATTGACTACAATGAGATCTTCTTTCCAATCGTGAAACGTAGCTCAATTCGCATGCTACTAATATTGGTTGCACAATTTGATTTAGAGTTTCAACAGCTTGATGTCAAAACTGATTTCTTACATGGTGATCTAGAAGAGACAATCTATATGGATCAGCCTGAAGGTTTCCTAGCCGAAGGAAAAGAAGACCATGTATGTCAACTGAAGAAGTCTTTGTGTGTTTTGAAGCAATCCCCTAAACAGTGGTACAAGAAATTTGATGCATTCATGACTACACATGAATTTTCGATGAGTGCATGATAGCTATGTGTATCACAAGAGGATGCCTGGTAATTTTATGATATATCTATTGTTGTATGTTAATGATATGCTTATTGCTGCTAACAACATCACATAGATAAATATTTTAAAGAAACCGTTGAGCAAGGAATTTGACATGAAGGATTTGAGAATTGCAAGGAAAATTCTTGGAATATAGATTTCAAGAGAAAATGGTATTGTACATCTTTTTCAAAAGAGGTACATCGAAAAAATTCTTGAGAGATTCAATATGCATATGAGCAAGCCAGTAAGTACACCATTAGCTCCTCATTTCAAGCTGTCGGAGTTACAAATGCCTCAGTCTATGGATGAGGTGGAGCATATGTCAAAGGTTTCTTATGTGAACGCAGTTGGTAGCATTATGTATGATATGGTGTGCACACGTCCAGATATTGCTCAATATGTAAGTGTAATAAGCAGGTAGATGGCAAATCCAGGAAAAAGCCACTGGAAAGCTCTCAAGTTGATATTGAGATATCTCAAAGGAGCTCCTGATGTTGGCCTAACCTTCCGTAAAAGTGAAGGTATTTCAATTCTTTATTATGTAAATTCTGACTATGTAGGGGATCTTGATCAAAGAAAGTCCACAACTGGAAACATCTTTACTCTCGCTGGCAGTGTCGTTAGTTGGAAATCAACTTTATAGTCTATTCTCGCTCTGTCTTCAACAGAGGCAAAATATATGGCAGCAACGGAGGCAGTGAAAGAATCTATCTAGTTGAAAGGTTTGGTGGCAGAATTGAGTTCGGTTCAGCTTGAATCAATTCTA